TCTCTCCTCCCATCACCACCTCCCTGCACCATCGCCACTTCTCCCCTGCCATCACCACCTCCCTCTATCGTCGTGTGTGTGTGTGTGTGTGTGTGTGTGTGTGTGTGTGTGTAACTTTGTGTGTGTGTGTGTGTGTGAGAGAGAGAGAGAGAGAGAGAGGCCGAGAACCTCGCTGCCCCCCTTGCACCATCATTTCCCTGCACCATTACCTCCATTTCCGCTGCTCTACAACCTCCTCCTCATCGTTCTTCTTCTTCTTCTTCTTCTTCTTCTTCTTCTTCTTCTTCTTCTTCTGCCTGGACGACATGTCTTCCTCATGCGGGCCGTCGAACAGCAACGACGCATGTTGCAGCGAGGCAGGTGGTGGCAGCAAGGGCAAAGGCGGCAGGAAGGCCAAGGGCAAGGCCAAGGTCACCCATGAGAAACCGCCATTTGACCCTGCAGCAGATTCGAAACAGATGGAGTTGGAGAAGACAAAACCAGCATTTAGATGGGTTCTGCGCAGACAGGAGACGGAACCCAAAGGTTATGCGAACTATTGGCACAAGTGCAAGTTGTGTGGCAGGGTGTGGAGTGGATCTTAGACACGTGTCGTCGGGCATTTCACGGCGAAAAGGGAACCATGTGCGAAGAGGACCGGGGAGATGTAGCATATCCTCGCCAGCAAGGGGGCGAAGATCGATTGCCCCATCACACGAAGAATGATACAGCTGTACCGATTGGAAAACAACATTGCTGACGGAGCAGATCCACAACCGGTGTTAGAGCACGTCGACACGGACAATTTGGCAGAGTTTATGTTGCCTCCAACTGCTCCCGGTAGAGAGGCCATCGACGACAGTCGGGACGGTCTCGGCATGGTGACGGATGACAGACACGTCGGGCGTGAGAGAGCGGAAGACCGGTCAGGCAGCGAATCAGCGACCCAAAGGCCATCCGCGAACTTGAAGCAAGCTTCTATTAGACGTTGGACTGAGAACTCATCGCAGCAGCGCTTGGACATCGCCTGGGGGTTCCACTTGTACGAGCATGGGGCTCCATTCAACTACGTCACGGGGGAGAAGACACAGGAGCTGCATGAACTGTACTTGGAGCTAAGGGAGAAGAAACAGAGAGTGAAGATGCCCAATAGAATGCAGATGGCGACGGTGGTCCTCGACGTCGCGTACGAGCGGACGCGAGAGGCGATGAGGCCGGTCATGGAGACATGGGATATCACTGGGTGCACACTCATCACGGATGGGTGCACGGATCGCAAGTTCCGGCCCGTCATGAACTTCATTGCTGCTGGCGAGGCCGGAGCAGTATTGCTGAAGGTTGTCGACATGTCGAAGAGGAAGAAGACAGCGATTGCGTTGGCGAAATTATGGGAGGGTGTGATCCGCGAGATTGGAGTGCACAGAGTGAACGCTTTGTGCACGAACAACGCGGAGGTCAACAAACATGCAGCCAGATTGTTGAGGCGGCGAACAGATCGAAGCATTTCACGGATTCCGTGGGTTCCGTGCGCCACACATTGCCTGAACTTGCTTCTTAAGGGGATCAGCGACGAGCCATGGGTCTATGACCTCTACAAGAGGGGCAAGACGATAGTGAAGTGTATCTGGAATCATCACAAGACGACGCAGTTGTTCCTTGACTGCTCGGAGATGGAGAGGACGAGGACACTCATCATGCCCACGGAGGTGCGCTTCGCCTCGGTGTACATGATGTTGGAGAGGCTGCTAGACAGGAAGAAGGTTTTGAAGGCAATGATGGTAGGAGGGTGGTTGGACGTGAAGTGGGCTTCGAGAAAGAAGCGCACCACTGCTGACACAGTCTACATGACTGTCCGCTCTGATGATTGGTGGAGGGAGGTGGAGGCAGCAATGGATGTGATGTCCCCAGTCCATGATCTCTTGCGAAAGATGGACAAGAGCGGCACTGCCCCATATTCACTGTGGGGCTTTGAGGAGGCGTTGATAAAGAAGATTGCCGCCATTCCCAGCTTGACACCTGCGCGGCGGGAGTCCATCGCGAAGAAGGTGGGGAGGCGCTGCAAAATGATGCGCCAGCCAGTGCACGCAGCGAACTCCGTCTTCAATCCATCCAAGCGGGACCCTCGCTGGATGAACGACCCCAAGTCCCCGCTTTTGCAAAATGCCATGAACTTTCTGTTGTCACAATGCGAAGACGGGGCGACATGGGGTTGCAAGGAGCATCTCGACCTGTGGGATGACTTGAAGACATTCCACAAAGAGCCACAGGGCAACTCGAGCCTGCCCCTCGAGAAGCAGGACAATTTCTAGACTGATTTCGCTAAGTGTGACTCCAACCTCGACAAGCGCACCACATCAGATTGGTGGGGATGCCATAGGAAGAGTCGTGAGAAACTGCAGCGCATTGCTGCGCGTGTGACCGCGATGTGGAGCGCGGCTACACCATGCGAGCGCAACTGGTCGACGCTGGACCTCATCCATAAGAAGAGGAGAAACCAGCTGTCCAATGACACAATCAACAAGCTAGTTTATGTGCACTGGAACCTTCGGCTGTTGAAGGTGAAGAAGAGGAAGGCGGGGGGCTTCATCGACATGTGGGCCGACTTCTTTGGTGTAGATGCACCTCCACAGTTCCAGATCCTGATATTCTTCCCGACGACGTGCAGCCAACAGCGGACGAGGTGGCTCGGAGGGATTGTCTGAGGAAAGCTCCTCAAGGGAGGATTCCGAAGGTCGGGAGGGTGGACGACTCCAACGCTAGCGACAACAGCGATGATGGCGAGGATTTGGTTTGGAGGGGGAAAGGGAAGCAAAGTAAAGAGAAGAAGTCCCCGGCAGCTCCGGCCGATGCGAAGGGTAAAGCGTGGGCGGAAGAAGAAGAGTACGGAGAGGACGAAGAAGAGGAGGATCGGGATAAGGACATGGATTTTGGTCTGCGCTCGGATGTGGAGTCAGATCACGACTTCGATGACGACCACGACGAGGACGCAGACGCTCTGACATTGAGACCGGAAACAGGTCACTTTGATAGTGACCTCGAGTTCTTGGTACCTCGAAATAGAGACAGAGAACTTCCCGCACATGATGACGATGAGGCGGATAGAGCGATGGCACAAGCGCTTGCGAAGAGAGATCGCGTCATTGTGAATCAGCGTATCGAGGAGGATGCAGCGAGACGTGTTGCTGTTTACTGACGGACTGGGGAGAAAGGAACGGAGGAAATCGGGGGAGGATCAGGCGGGGAAGGATGCGGGGCAGCAGTCGGAGTTGCGCCAGCTGTGGCCAACAGCGAACACGTTGAAACGGCAGCGACAGCAAGTGCATGTGGAGACCACCCAACAGAGGACTTGCCCCACACGCACATTCACTCAACCGACGACAAGGACTGTCGTGATGAAGGGAGAAGGCCAGATGTGGCTAAAAGGCGACCACATGCAAGCACTTCAGCCCCCCCTCCCGCTGTGCCTTCTCAACAGTCCCAGCCGGACTTCCCGCCGTTGATTGACGACCTGCAACACGACAACCTCGACAAGAGCACAGTGGGCAGGAAGAGAAAGGTGGTAGAAGAGACCGCAACAACCGCTGGACCGAAGAGGGGTCGGGGAAGACCTCGGAAAGCTCAACTTGAGACAGTCTGTCCACCGGCCGAACTGCCTCCCAGAAGACCACAATGACGGCGGAAGTCAAAGAAGACACGAAATGTGCTTGAAGATGATGACGACGACGAGACTTCGGGGGATGACAACAATGATGGCGACGCTGCCTGTGATTCCGAAAACGAATGGAGTTAGTAGCTGAGAGAGAGAGAGAGAGAGAGAGAGAGAGAGAGAGAGAGAGAGAGAGAGGACTGAGCAATCAAACTGAGTCAGTTTAAAGAATGGTCAGCATTGTGTTTTTGTGCGTGTTGTGTGTGTGGTGTCACTGGTGTGTGCATATTGTGTGTGTGCTGTGTGTGCTGTGTGTGTTGTGCGTGTGTTATGTGTGGTGTGTGGATGCATTGTGAGTGTTGGGTGAGTGTTGTGTGTGTTGCGTGCCTTTTGTCGTGTGCTGTGTACTGTGCGAGTGTAGCGTGTGTTGTGTGTATGCTGCGTGAGTGCTGTGCGTGTTGCGTGCCTCCCGTTGGTTGCTGCGTTGATGCTGTGTAAGTGCTGTGTGTGCTGCGAGTGCTGTGTGTGGATGCTGCGTGAGTGTTGTATATGTTGTGTGAGTGCTGTGTGTGTTGCATCCCTCCTCACCCACCCTGACCCCCCCCCCAACCCCCCAAATCCCGAAATCCCTAAAATTCTAAATGACCCCGGATTCGTGCATATCTCCCAATGCGCAAAACAACCCCCTGAACCCAAAAAAAAAATTAAAAAATTTAGGCTATTTTTTTCACACGACCGGGTGACCCGGACGTCGGACCTGCCCGGGCATGACGTCCGGGTGACCGGCCGGTCGTCAGAATCTTCCTAGCTGTTAGTGTCCTTTTGACTTTTTCCTCTTCTTTTCCTTTTTTTTTTTTTCTTTTTTCTTTTTTCTCCACTTCCGGACAGTACGGACTTGCCAGTCCCTACTTGCTGCAGTCCCTACTGACGGCCAACTCACTCATCCTCTCTCACTTCCCATTTTTTTTTTTTTTTTTCTTTTTCTTTTTCTTTTTCTTTTTCCATTTGCATGCCAAGTGTCAACTAGCCGTTAAGGCCCTTTTCTAAGCTCTTCCTCTTAGTTTTGGCCCTTCCCATGCTCAAGGGTCAGTCCGTCATTTCTCGGACTGCACTTGTGGTTTTTCCATGCCCATGGGAGCCTCCGTTTGCCTCTATCTCTTCCAAACGGTAGACCCCCATATTCCGATTTTCTCCGGGAGGCCTAATTTTATCATGGAGTCCCTTCTGGCTCCATTTTCTTGGGGGAGGTCAATCCGGGATTTTCCGGATTGCTCCCATGCCTCTACATCTATGTTCTTTGACTTCTCCTTTTCTTTTGGCCCTCCCGCTTGCTCCCACTAGCGCTCATGCTAGTGGTGCTAATATTCTTGGTCGTTAAGATCCTTGATCTTGACGGTGCATCTTTCGTTAATTATTTGCGCCTCATGACACGCTATAATTTTTCCTTGGGACTTCACAAGTCCCCGCCACTTTTCCACGTTAGTGCCCGACACTAGTCCCGCTAGTGGTCCCGCCGGTACTCGTCCTGCCGGTGGTCCCGCCGGTACTTGTCCCGCCGGTGGTCCCTGGTACCTTATCATTTTTCCACCTTATGGCGGCCTCCTTCCCTTTGTCCTTCTCATGCCCCATGCGCCGTTCTCCCCGGACGCGGGTTCTTACTTGGCCCGCGACTCCTTGGCCTTTTTGACGTTGCACCCCGGTGACCCTCTTGGCCCGGGTTACGACTTCACGCACCGGCACCTTACTATCTTCTCTCCTTGCGGCGTGCGACCCACGACACCACTTTTCCGGCGGTCCTTCTCCTTCTCGGGGGAACGACCGTCTTTGTTGTTTTCTTGTGGTCTCTCACCGCTTGCCGTTCCACTAATCCTTCCTTGGTCCCGTGGCTCCGACGACCCGGGCAACCTCCACGTCCCCTAGTGCCAGTACCTCAACGCTTTCTTTCCTTCCTGCCTCCGGTTTTCTCTGCCGTGCACAATTTTGCAGTATACCGCCTCTCCATGGGCAAGACTTGTCTCGGGACCCACCGGTCCCGACACATTCCCCCCACTCATTCACGATGTCCTCATCGCGCACCAATCCTTAGTTAGTAGGGAGTCTTGGGGGGTACACGGAGGGGAAGAGGGGGTGGGGCGAGACCGTCACGGGTAATTAGCTTGCCAGGATTTTTTTTGTTCTTCCCCGTTCCTTTCGTAGGGTGTCCTCTAGTTTTCACCCCTTGGGGCCGAGGAGGGTGTGGAGGGTCAAAGACCTCTTTCATGCCTCTCTCTTCTCATTTCATGCCAGCCAGATCCATTTTCAACTACCATCATTCTCAATACCTCTTTCATTTGGGTCCTTCAGCCCGTGCAATCCATGTTTTCCGTCATTTTCACTGCCTCTTCCATTTGGGTCCTTCGGCCCGTGCAATCCATGTTTTCCGTCATTTTCAATGCCTCTTCCATTTGGGTCCTTCGGCCCGTGCAATCCATGTTTTCCGTCATTCTTTCCTCAAGCCAAATTCACATGCATTCCTCTTCGGCTATTTCGCCCTGCCTTTCTCTAGTCCTGCCAATTTCGCATGCACCCCCCTTTTTTCACTCTTTCTTGCATCCGGCTTAATTATCTTTACATGCGCATTGCGTGGTCTATTTCATGTGCATATTTTTTCTGGGCATCTTGCCCGACCCCTTTCTCGAGCCCACGCCAAGTCAATTACACAATTTTTTTCTCTTTCGAACATCTCGCCAGACAATTTCTCAAACCCATGCAAAGTCAATTACACAAGTCTTTTCTCTTCCGAACATCTTGCCAGACTATTTCTCAAGTTCATGCAAAGTCAATTACACAAGTCTTTTCTCTTCCGAACATCTCGCCAGACCATTTCTCAAGCCCATGCAAAGTCAATTACAGAAGTCCTCTCTTCTGGGCATCTTGCCAGACCCCTTTTTCAGGCCCATGCAAAGCCAATTACACAAGTCCTTTCTCTTTTGGGCATCTTGCCAGACCCCTTTCTCGAACTCATGCAAAACCAATTACACAGGTCATTTATCTTATGGGCATCTTGCCAGACCCCTTTCTCGAGCTCATGCAAAGTCAATTCCACAGGTCCTTTCTTTTCTGGCATCTTGTCAGGCCCTTTTCTCAAGCCCATGCAAAGCCAATTACACAAGTCCTTTCTCTTCCTCATGCTTTTTCAACGGTAGATGACACACCTTCCCCCCACTCAAAACGCGATGTCCCCATCGCGCGACCGGTTCTCACTCGGAGGAACGCAGACCTTTGGCCCACCGACCACAGTCAAGGACACAAGCCCATCTGCTTCACAAAGGAAGAGTGATCAGTTCTTCCCCAACGGGTGGCGCCTCATCCTCCTACTTGGTCCGACCTTTAGCTATTACGCGGCGAGCACCATTACTGAGGTTCTTCCTCACATCCGGCAGGTAGGTCCAGTCCCAGCCTCCCAGGGCCTCGTCTAGCCGTAAGAGTTTCCCTCGCGAATCGTTCCTCCCGAGTGGTAATTTTTCTGGATCCGGCCTCTTCCTTTCAAGAGAGTTGGGGCTCTCTATTAATTCGCGAGTGCAGTTACGAAGACCTCGCGGTTAGTCCCGAAACGGTTGTAATGTTCCGGCGAGGCGGTGTCAATACCTCATGGTGGTGGCGGACTTCACCCGGTACCTCGCCCGGCCCCTCCCCTTGGACAGTGCCGCCCAACTTAATGCGGGCAGCCGAGGTCCGACCCGAACGGCCATGCCAACCCTCTATGGTGTGGCGTGTGGTTGGAGAGAGCAAAGGAGACTAGAATCAGAATGACTCTCTCACCGATTTGGTTCTCTCACCCTTTGACGTTTAAGCTCTCAGCATGAGGCGCAATTTGAACTCCCCGACCAGAGCTCATTGTCGGAGTTAATTCCGGACGGCCCGCACCGATCCAAGGGATAAGTGCCTTGATCCTTTAACCCTCATCCCCTTTTAAGAGGAAAAGGTCGCGCTGAGACTTTTCCCTTAGAAGGATAGAGGTTTTGGGTTCGTGGTGCAGGCACCGGTATCCCCCTCTTGTTGAGGCCAGAGACCAGGGGAAAAGGAAAAATCTTTCTCAATGTCATTTTCATGGTCGGCTCGACGACCTTTCTTCAAAATTGCCTAGGGTCCCCTGACTTATGCAATGCAATATCTAATTCTCATCACTCAATCCAATGCTGTTTTCATCTCATAGTTGGTTCTCATGGCTGGTCCGACAACCTCTCATCAATAAGGCCACCCCTCGTGACGGATCCGGTGGTCACTTCTTCAATAGCTATTTTCCAAGGCCGACCCGTCGGCCCACTTCCAATCCTCAACTTCCACATTTGAAACATTCAATCTTTATGATTGTCCCAACGGTCTATTCCCTTTTCGTCTTGAGGCCCGTTCTTCTTTATCCTGCCTTTCTTTTTCCAACACGTCACTCTGGTCCCTCCATCCTCATGGCTATTTCAATGACCGACCCACTGGACTTTTCCGTCTTATAGTGCTCATTCCAACTCTTTTTCAATCAACATCTCTCAATCAATTCTTGCAGGGAACCCCAGTGCCTATTTCAAAAGAAATGACCCTTGTCAGGGGCAATTTCCGAACAACCTGGTTAGGGTCGTTCTTTTCCAATCTCAAATTGAACAGC